GTTATTTAAAATACCAGTGGCATAGGCTTCAGAATCACAGCAATTTAAACCACCACAGCACGACAGACAGACATGTGGCGGTTGTGTGTTCGCTGTTAAACACGAATCTCCTTGTGCTAAGGCCCTTAAGTTCGGCTCAAAGGGGGGCTTTCCGTCCTCAGGGGCAACAGGGTTGTAATGAGAGCTTTGGGCTGGGTTTGTGGGTCTCTAAGTTGGTCGAGCCCGCCTCAAAGCCACGATCCAATGGCTAGGCCAGGACGGCGCCCTCGCGTCCAGGGTAATTAGTACAGCCTGGCTGGCCGCTGCAGTCTCTTCTGGCTAGGCAGCATCACCACCACCACCACTCCTCCCCCAACCCCACCCCCTCGACCTGGTCTCCAGACACCTCTCTCCCTGCCTCCGTGGTCTAGGTTTCATTTAACACCTCCACCAGGTCTGCTCAGTTCTCGCACATTGTTCAGCCGCCGCCCCCTCCATTAGTAGCAGAAAATGAGCCCCTTTGGTTGGAAGGCACTCAAAATATGACTGGAGAAGAGCTGCTTCCTCAAGGCAGAGTTGACCTTGATGATACGAATGGAGTAAAGCATTTGGGACCTTCATTTACTGATTAGGCGCAAATCAAAGAGAAAGAGCTGTTGTTATTGATAAGTACCATGGAGTTGATTCCAACTCATAGTGACCCTGCACAGGGTTTCCAAGGTTGTAAATCTTTATGGGAGCAGAAAACCTCATCTTTCTCCCACGGAACAGCTGGTAGTTTCAAACTGCTGACCTTGAGGTTAGTAGCCCAATTCATAACCACTACGTAAATATCCATTAATAGTTGGAACATGGAATGTACCAAGTATGAACCTAGGAAAACTGGAAATTGTCAAACATGAAATGGAATGCACAAACAATGATATCCATCCTAGGCATTAGTGAGCTGAAATGGACTGGTATTGGTTATTTTGAATCTGACAGTCACATGATTTACTATGCCAGGAATGACAAAATGAATGCACTGCATTCATCATCAAAAACAACATATCAAGATCTGTCTTGAGATACAATGCTGTCTATGATAGGATAACATCTATCCACCTATAAGGAATACCTTTTAATACCTCTGTTATTCAAATGTATGCACCAAACCACTAAAGCCAGCCTGCTAGCATAGTGGTAACAAATTGGGCTGCTAACCTCAGGGTCAGCAGTTCGAAACGCCAGTTGTTCCACAGGAGAAAGACGAGGCTTTCTGCTCCCGTAAAGATTTACAACCTCATAAACCTGTACAGTGTCGCTATGAGTCGGAACTGACTCCACAGCACATAACAATAACAACAACAACTAAAGCCAGAGATGATGAAATTCAAGAATTTCACCAACTTCTATCTGAAATTGATCAAACATGCAATCATGATATATTGATAATTACTGATTGGAATGAAAAATTTGGAAACAAAGATCAAAAGTTGGAAAATATGGCCTTGATGATAGAAACAATGCTGGAGCTCATGTGATCAAAAATTTCAATATCAGTGACTTCTTCATTGCAAATGCCTTTTTAAAAACATAAAAGGCAGTTATGCACATGGACCTCACCAGATGGACTACACAGATATCAAATTGACTGCATCTGTGGAAAGAGAGTGGTAGAAAAGCTCCATATCACCAGCCAAAACAAGGCCAGGGGCAGACTTTGGAACAGACCATCAGTTGCTCATATATAAGTTTAGGCTGAAGCTGAAGAAAATTAAAATAAGTCTACGAGAGTCAAAATATGATTTTGTATATATCCCACCTGAATTTAGAGACCATCTCAAGAACAAATTTGATGCATTAGACACTAAAGACCAAAGACCAGAGAGTTGTGGGATGGAATCAAGAGCAACATACAGGAAGAAAGCAAAAGGTCATTAAAAAGACAGGAAAGAAAGAAAAGATCAAAATGGATGTCAGAAGAGACTCAGAAATTTGCTCTCCAGTGTAAGGATGTTCAAGCAAATGGAAGAAATGAGGAGGTAAAAGAGCTGAATAGAAAATTCCAAAGGGCAGCTCGAGAAGACAAAGACAAATTTTATAACAAAATGTGCATGGACCTGGAGTTACTTCACTCCACAACTAAGCCTCCTGCCCAATATCACTCAGCTCTACTTGCTCAGTGAGCTAGCTGGAAAACCCAGTGCTCTGTCTTGTGCTTGGGCTCTTGGTTCTTCTGCTGCTGCTCCTTTGTCACTGCTCTGCTACTCTCTGGTGTCACAGCTTTCTGTCCTTGGGTTAAGGAGGCCCAATGTGCAGGGTTCTCAGGGTCCAAAAGACACACTCCAATCCTGTAACCTTAAAAGTAGACCAAGCCTTACTCCTAGCCCTAGTCCAACGCTTACCTCTAACGCTAACCCTAGTCCTAGCCATAACCCTAATACTAGTCTTAGGCTTAGACTAGTTGAAATCTTTCCATAAAGTGAGGCAGCACTGGGGGAACTCACTCATCTTGGCCAAGAAATTTGGAAGACAGCTATCTGGCCAACTGATTGGGAGAGATTTGTATCTGTGTCCATTCCAAAGAGAGCTGACCCAACGGAATGTGGAAATCATCAGACAATATCTTTGATATCCCATGTGAGCAAAGTTTACTGAAGGTAATACAGAATCAGCTGCAAGCATACATTGACAGAGAACTTCCAGAGATTCAAGCCGGATTCAGAAGAGGGATATCACTGCTGATGTCAGATGTATCTTGGCTGAAAACAGAGAATACCAGAAAGATGTTTACCTGTGCTTTATTGACTATGCAAAGGCTTTCAGTTGTGTGGATCGTGACAAGCTATGGACAACACTGGAAGTATGAGTGTTCTTATCAATGGAAAAAAGATTGATATTGTCAAAGACTTCATTTTTCTCAGATCAACCATCAACACTCATGGAAGCAGCAGTCAAGAAATCAAATGATGTATTGCATTAGGCAATTCTGCTGCACAAGACCTTTTAAATTGTTGAAGAGCAAAGATGTCAGTTTGAGGACTAAGGTGCCCCTGCCTCAAGCCATCATATTTTCAATAGCCTCATATGCATGCAAAAGTTGGACAGTAAATAAAGAAGATTATAGAAGAATTGATGCTTTTGAATTACGGTGTTAGAGGAGAATATTGAAAGCACCATGGGCTGCCAAAAGAGCAAATAGATTTGTGTTGGAAAAAATACAGCCAGAGTGCTCCTTGGAGGGCCAGTATGGCCTGACTTCGTCTCTCCTACTTCAGATATTGTCAGGAGGGACCAGTAGGATATCATGTTTGGTAAGGTGGAGGGTCAGAGAAAAAGAGCAAGACCCTTAGCGAGATGGATTGGCACAGTGGCAGCAGCAATGGGCTCAGGTGTGGCAACAGTTGTGAGGTTGGCCCAGGACCAGGCAGTGTTTTGCTCTGTTGTGCATAAGGTCGCTATGAGTTGGTACCAACTCGATGGCACCTAATAACAAGAACAATTCACCTACATCCCCAAAATAAGTTCCTTGACCTAGCATACCTGAATCTCTGCTTCTCCAGGGACACACCTGAAAGGGGTTCAAGGTGCTCAGCATTTAAGGTCCCTCTGTGTCTTTCATGCTATTGTTGCTCAAGCCCTGGTGAGTCGGCAGCAGAGACAGTATCTCTCTACATCACAGATAATGGAAACTGAGGCTCAGCCTGGGTAAGGACCAGTCAAGGACTGCAATATGAGTCCGTCCAAGTCAGCTTCAGCCTAGATCCTGTCTGAGGGCCCGGCCACCTTTCCTAAGACCCTTCCTGAGGAATTACCCTCAAGGTCAAAATGAAGTCCTTCTTTTGAGTCTCTGTTTCTGGGGTTGAGGGAGGGTGGGCAAGTTTCTCTGAAGAGTCTGAGAGTGGAGGTTGTGAGAATTATAGGCAGGAGGTCGGAACACTCATCTCCTGGGTTATGTTCAAGGTTTCCTGGTCCCCTGTATGGAAAGCATAATGACAGAAGATTATCTGAATGACGTGAAAGCTGGTGAGTTGTGTCTGGGGCTGGTGAGATTTCAGGGGGCAGAATCTGAATAGGGCTACAGTGAGGAGTAGAGAGCGGGGAGGAATATCTTTCAAGGCGTGAATCTTAGGCTGTTTTGAGGTTACTACAACCTCTACCTGGGGGAAGCTAGCGATTTAGTTAGTTGAGATACAGAAGCTCAGAAAGTGAGAGCAAAAGCTACCTTGTACAGAGAAAGTACTTCAGACTGTTAAGAGAGCCTGTGGCCACCCTGTTCAGCATATTATTATGGGGAAGCTGATGGAAACATCAAGGTAGGCTGAAGTAGTCCAGTAAGACTTCCTAGAAGAGGCAGGCTTTGATTTGGACTTCTAAGAAGACCCACGTGGGGTCCTGGAGTAACAAGTTTCTTCTCCTCTCTCCATGACCCAGCTCTGGAAAACTTAAGACATGACCCAGAAGCATCAGTGTGCATCCATGCGGCCCAAGCCCAGGACCATATCCTGGCCAGTTGCTGGCGGAACTCCTGGCCACTGCTGCATGGGGACCCATGGGTGTGTGACCCAGCCACCACGCATCGCTGGAGCCCCAGCTGTGAGAACCTACCCACTTCCCACCAACGGCGCTCCTGGATCATGCAGGCATTGGGTTCCTGGAAGATGTCCTTGAAACAGTGATGTCCCTGAGCCCTCAACCATCCTTAGGGCTGGCCGTGGCACCAGCCATGTTTCCTATAAATGCTACATGGCTTACCTCTCCTTCCTGAGTAGTCCTCATGGGAGAGGTGTGGTCCAGCCCAGTCTGGCTGGAGGTCAGAGCTCTTTCCCACCATCACTGAGCTGAGCATGACCTTCATTTATTGACTCAGTCAATACTCACTGGCTCGTGTTGGTTGTTCACCTTTTATAAGTAGGTCCAGGGAGACTTAGAAAGTTAAAGAGGCTGACCCAAGGCCACACAGTAAAGCAGCTGAGTGCCTCGGTTCCCAGTCTTTACCACAAAGCAATTATAAATATAAAAGGAGATGATGATTCAGATAGACTTTGGGAGGGAGAGAAAGTAGAGTGCCCCTCCTCACACCATGACATCATGCCTATCCCATGATGCTTTCTGAGTCCCACTCTCATGTCTTTGCCTAAAGATTGGCCACAACTCACTCAGGCAACATTTATTGAGGTGTCTACCCAGGGCCAGTTCTGTGTTGGTTGCTGGTGACACAGATATAAAGGAGACCCAACCCTGGGTCCCCAGTTCATAGTCTAATGCAGTCAGTGGTTATGGACAGAGGGAGGGTCATGTTGACCCCCAGGGAATACTTGACAATGTCTGGAGACATTTCTGGTTGTCACAATTGTAGGGGAGGGAGTTGTTATTTGCATCTAGTGTGCAGGGGCCAAGGATGCTAAACTATGCATAAGACACACCCCACAACAAAGTTAATAGTGCCAAGGTTGACATATGAAGACACAAACAGCACAACAGGTCAGTGTAGTGATGAGTAGCAGAATGGAGTTGTGGAGTTCAGAGGAGGCACATAGCCCAGTTGGGAGCTGGATATTAGGGAAAGCTTCCAGGAGAAGGGGCCTTCCCACAACAAATGTGGTAAAATCCTAACCCCTGTACCTTTAAATATAATTGTTTGGAAATAGGAGTTTTTGTTAATGAAGCATCATCCCAGAATAAAGTGAGTACTAAACCTAATCACTTCTGAGTTATAAATAAAACAGAATGGACACACATACACAAAAGACAGACATCCACAAATGTCAAAGAATTGCAAGGGTTGTGGCCAGAGCAACTGGATGCTGAAGTAGACAAAGAAGAGCTTCCCCCTAAAGGCATGCCTTGAAGTCAGACTTTTAACCTGCAGAGCTGTGAGAAAATAAATTGTCGTTCTTTAAAGTGACCTATTTGTAGTATTATTAATGGCAGGAGGTAACTAAGACAGTGGGCATGTGTCAGAGAGAGCAGTCCACATGGACCCAAGGACCAACTGTGTGTTCAATGAATCCTGGAGGGAGAGGAGAGAGGAGGGTCAGGGTTGCATCACCACAACTTGGCAGCTGTGTGAAAGGAGTAGTCTTCATCCAGAGAGCAGAAGAAGGCACAGTAATATGCTAAGCAGGTAGAAGGTCCCGAGGTGGTGCAAATTAAATATTCATCTATTAGTCAAAAGGTTGGTGGGTTACTTCTCAGGTGGGACATTCCCACTAGAAAGGACAAGCAGACCAGCCTGGGAAAACTAGAGCAACAGAAGATAATTATTGAAAGAAAGACCAGCAGGAAAAATCCAAAACAAAAATGGCAGTCTGAGTGGCTACTACAAGAACAAGCAAGTTATTCTCTGGGGAGCCATCAAGGCAAATAATCAAGTCCCTTCAGGCAAACCCCCCTCCAAGACTGAAACTCAAAGGGAACACATGAGCAGGCATGTAAGCTTGCTGGCAACCACGTTGGTCTACTGGTGAGTGGAAGAGGGGGAAAGGTAGCAATGAAGAAATGGGCTGAGTTCAACCACACTCAATAGACTCCCATTGACCTGGAGATGAGAAAGAGAAGAGGAAGGGCTGGTTGGTCTGAGGTGTGATGAGACCTGGGGACTCCTGAGCCCATGGACAAGGACATAGTCACAGAAGGCTAGAGCTGAGAGTGAACCATCCAGCTGATATGAAGTTAGGGGAGATACACAAGAATGTCCAAACTTGCAGATAGTACCTATTTGACCCAGCCTTGTTGTTGTTGTTGTTATTAAGTGCCATCAAGTCGTCCCCTACCCATAGTGTTTCTGAGGACTGTTGGTGAGCTTGAACCACCAACTTGCAGTTCAAGCCGACAGTGCAGTCCAGCGCATTAACCCACAGTGCCACACCAGGACTACTGACCTAGCCTTAATGGCTTGATAATCAGAATTCAGCTAAAGGAAGATTTAAAAAAACTTTTTTTGATAAAGGAAATGAAGATAAATTGCTACAATTTGATGAACTTGACCTATACTTTATGGATGTATTAGCTCAAAATACCAACTGACAAGGGGTGGAATGATTGGGTTGGACTATGCAAATAAGGTGCTGTGGCCCACCAAGGGGTCTGGAATGTAAATGAGATACATTGAACTCTGTGGGAATAGAGCCATACACATAAGATGTATGGAATCTTAATGGGATTGGTCAGTTTTGCCATCCCAGTAGGCTTAAAAAAGAGCCAATTCCAGAGCAGAGAGGGATATAACTATCACCAAGAAACAAGAGCCAGGAGACTGGAAAATGGCGGCGCGAGTAGTTCTTGGGGCCCTATGTCGGTGCTTTTGGCGGGATCCAAGGAATTTTTCTGTGAATGGTTCTAAGAGCAGCACAGCCAGAAATAGTGGCTTTCTTCTCAGTACTAACCTGAAGTGGGTACAGTTTTCAAACCTACACATAGATATTCCCAAGGAGTTGACCAAGCCTATGATAACCATATCTGATAAGCCAGACACATTATATAAGCACCTGTCAGTTTTAGTGAAATGCCATGATAAGGCTGCCTTGGACAGTTACAAATATTTTGCTGTGCTTGTAAAGAGCTTGGTATTTCTGTTAAAGTACATCAACCTCCAAGGAAAACAGAAAATTTTACTCTTCTCAAATCAGTACATATTTTCAAGAAGCACAGAGTCCAGTATGAAATGAGAACACTTTATAGGTGTTTAGAGCTAGAACACCTAACTGGAAGTACAGCAGATGTCTACTTGGAATTTATTCAGTGAAACTTACCTGAAGGGGTTGCCATGGAAGTCACAAAGACAAAATTAGAGCAGTTACCAGACCATATCAAGAAGCCAATCTGGGAAACTACACCAGCAGGGAAAGAAGAAAGCAAGTCATAAAGCTCAGTGAGGCCATTTGTGCGTGGGTTTGAACTAAGGATAGGCCAGATGTGTGTGGTTAAGTGGAGACTGCTTTGTTTCTAGCTAAAATAATTTTGGGTCCACCTAACTCAGGGGTGGGGAATGTCCAGCCCACATGAGGCCTGTGAAATCATTTGGTCTGGTCCTGTCAAGACAACCGTAGTTTCCACCATCACATTAGGGATGAGTTAATTAAATGTTTGACTAAATATATCAAGCTAATTTTTAACTTGATAATTTTGTATGGCCCACGAATGATATTATACATTTTGGCAGAAAAAAGTTTCCCCACCCTGACCTAACTGCCGAGTCCTTGTTCTCTGATCAGTAGCCAGCCAATAGTGTAACTTTAGTGATCAATTACACTACAGCAGAATCACTCTTCTCTGGATTAAGAAAAA